CGGCGGGAGCGCCGCCGTGCTCTCAAGCGGCGCACTCTCCAGTGCGCCACCGGGCCGGCCCTGAAATACTATTTTTCCAAGAGATCGTGGTGAGGGTGGGGAATAAGGAGTGGAGCTATTTAGCATTTACAGAGCTGCTCTGTTAATAATTGCCTCTCGAATGTCAAGGCAGGAGGGTCATTTAATGAGGCACAAATAAAAATAATACAAAGGTTATTTAAATATATAAATAAATAAAATAGAATATAAATGAATAATAAAACCAAACCCTTTGCGACCTTTGTGTGTGTTCTTTTACCGTTCTCACAATGAACTTATAGAGTAACTTTCCACTTTTCCAGATGAGGAAACTGTGTGGTCCAGAATGTTAAATCACTTGCTTAAGGTCACAGAGATATGTGGTGGTGGAGCTGGGAATGGAATCCAGGATTGCCTGACTCCTTAGCAAGGGCTCTTAACCTCCCCATCACTGTTTTTTCATCCCGGGATATGACCTGTGGTGGGTAGGGAATCAGTATAGTGAGTTGTAACCAGTTTTTTTAAAAATATGAAATAGAATAGAAAAGAAGTACAGAGTAAAGGTAAGTGTCATTTTATGAAAATTTTGTTTCAGTTTAATATTTGTATTTATCTAGACATATACACTTATGTGTCTGTGAGTGTGTGCGTGTGTGCCTTGTTTAAAAAGTGGGAGAAGCTCTGTTCTCCACTACGCTTGCCCTGATAGAGCCACTGGAAGGTCACGCTGAAGGTCTTTTGCAAACTAAGGTATGCAGTCCCTAAATGGGGTTCTTGCAAGAGTCATTTTCTTTCTTATATTCTCTTTCCCCCAAGAATCCCAGGGCCCTAGCCATTCTGTTAAAGCAGTGTAGATAAATTAATAATACAATTTAAAACTGATTCCACCAAGATAAATAGCGCTTCCTAGATTAAGAGCGTAGCTGGCCAGAATGAATGAAATTTACTANCAAGATAAATAGCGCTTCCTAGATTAAGAGCGTAGCTGGCCAGAATGAATGAAATTTACTAACCTTGAGATGCTTAATCTTCCATTACATAGAAGTTAATGGTTATAAGAAAGGAGTGGTGGTAATTCACTTCAGCTTTTACAGGAAATCTGACCATCTCATTTTTAGCAAATCTTTCTTCTCAGCACACCTTGGTGCCAAGGATAACTGCCCTGCTCCTATAGGTGCATAGGCCAATGGTCATGTATCAAAGCCTACTCTTAGCCAAAGGGTTAGGCCTTCTACATGCATGGGCTTACAAGAGTCCCTGTGGAATTGATTGGGAAGGTTACTTGGGTGCCCCTTCTCTCACCCCATCTGAGAAGCCTGTGGTTTGTTTTCCAACCATGGCAGGGAAGTAGTGGCACATACCTTTAGCACAGTCTGCTCCTAGAAATCCTGGGAAGCAGTGACACAGCCCGGACACACATTCACCATTCCCATGGCAGTTGCGTGGACAGTCCTGTACTGAATCTGAAAAAGAGAGAAATTTAGAAACTACCTTTTTTCTCTGCCTGCTGATGCAATAATTCAATAATTAGTCATCCGCCATTTTTAAAGACAAGTGGCATTAACCTCAGATGCCTATAGGGGACTGGCAGGGAGCACAAATGAGTGAAGTAAGAGAATAGGGAGTGGTGGGGACTAGGACAACTTGGTCACTGCATGAATATAACTGCCACCCTTCACCCGATTAACCTACTCAGTAATGCAGGGCCAGTATTGTTGCATCGTTTGCTTTTTCAGAAGAAACTACCTATCTGTATTTAAAAGCTGTGAAAACTCCCATGTTTTAATGTTGACACATTAAACACTGTACCCCTCTTCCCCCCCAAAATATCGCACCAATTTGAGATTTGGTCTGACATGTCGGGTATTTGTCTTTAGCCTCAGGTATAGAGGGTAATTCTTCAAAATGAGAACAATTGTTCCTAATTTCTGCTTTGTAGAGTTAAAATATTTCCTGTTTTAAAGAAATTCTAATCAGAGAAAAATTCAAATCCATAAGACATTAATTTAGGTATAATTTGGGGGTTCTTTAAGTAGTAGGTTTGGGTTATAGAAAGTCCTTTTATGCTTAGCTTTTGCTGATCTTATTTTTTATGAAAATCATTTAGTTCACATTTGTTCTAACCTGCATAAGTATCTCATTTTATGATTTACCTTTCTATGTGTATTCTCAAGTAATACCTTCAAAGGGATCATTTTGGAACTTTTTCATGTTGATTTGAATCTGCACAGAAATAGATATATTCTTTTAAAATTATTATTATTATTATTATCCTAATTTTGCCTTAAATTAAAACAAAACACATTTAGACTTCCAGGTTCAAAATTACTAAGATCACAAAAAGAAAAATACAAGCCACTGTGCCCAAAATGTGACAATTACACAACCCCTGGAGAGTGGGGGATATTGACTTGGTGATGTGGCATGGCAGACTGTAAACTCTAATTGTTCCTAATGGAGTCACCTCAGAGTGGTAAAAGGTGTGCTTTGTTTAACCCTAATTTCCCATTTACTCCCACTCTGGACTGAAAAAACCAAG